TTTTGAAAATAGTTGTTAATAGATTTGTTTTTAATTGTTTTTATATTGTTTTTTGATTAATATATTTATGAATTTTCATTATTAAATTTGAATTTGTTTAAGACAAATAATTATAGATATATTAAAATATCCAATATTATTAAGCAAATTGATAAAGTTTGAAATTTGGCTTTCTAGTTAAATTTTATTGATACTTTTTAATATGTATAAAGATTTGTAATAAATAATCAAGTTAGAAATTATTTTGGTTATGTTGACTATATATTTTTTAATACCTAATCAGGCCATATTTCAAGTTTTATTTATATTCAAACTGATGGGTTCGAATTGATCCCAGGTATAAATGGTTGGACTATACATATGATATAAATTATTTTGCTGTTGACTCAATTGCCAAAATCCTCAAAAATAATTGTTTCTGATTCAATTATTTTATATGTTTTAATAGTGACTCAAATAATTGTGTCAAATAATTATATCAATTGTATCAAGGATCTATCTATTTCTATCATATGTATAGGTTGGACATATCTAGTATCTGATAGATCTATATTATAGATTAAACTTATTATACTATATACGGCACACCTATCAACAGCCACTAGCCTCTAGATGTGATTAAGGGGAATGAAAAAAGTTGTTCTATCTTAATCCATATTCCTTATAGTTCTCAATATTATCGCCAGTTCTTTATTAAGACTATTTACCCCAATTTAATTTCTGTGGTCCTAAGGTATAAAATTATTATTTTTTTGAGAAGGTAAAAGGAAAAGATAAAGAAGAAAGAAGAAAAGTTTGTGCTGGTAAAATAAAAACCCCACCAAAACCAATCATTAACCTAATAAAAGCCTTTTTTAACCTTGAGGAGAAAAAAAACTGGCACAAGAGAGGAGGGGGAAGATTTTCAAACACTTCTTATCAAGAGGACATCTCAACACCTTGCTTTTTCACTTGTCCAATTATATTATCAGTTATAATGTAGTATGACATGTGGCACGTATGAATACGTGTCTTGTTTACCTTTTTTTTACTTGTTGATCAATCAATCCAAGATTTCAGCCAATCACCATCCAGAGTTTTCAGTATAACAAAAAATTTAGGATCAAACTGAGGTAGGCAAAATTCATCAGAAAAATCAAGAAAAAATTGAACATGCTTGAAAGTACTATCTATAGACATGTATAAATGGTAGAAGAGGTTTATACACCTGGACAATAGACTCCTACCAGCTTATTTACCTGCCTAGACCAAAGGAGTTTATTTACAGTGGATCCAAAATTCCCATATTACTTGGGAATATATTTACTGATAAGTCCAACTAACTTATCTATCCATCTCAGCCCAAGATGTTCACTTATGGTAAACCCAAGATTCTTATGAATCTTGAGAAATGTATTTGCTAGTAGTTCACTTTCTGAAGTTCCTGATCTAAGAAAAAAGTAGTGGAGGGTATTTTTCTATAGGTTTCTTCTTTCTAGTAAAGTGTTCTTGCCATAAATCAAATAGGTAAAGTTTTGTTTATTTTGTTGCTAAAATATTCAAAGTTTTTGAAGAAGGAAAAGCAAACAAGTGGGGGAGACACTAGCCTTTAGGAAATAATGTTTTAAGGAAAGTGTATAGATTTTATTATTAAAAATAAAAATTATTTTTGAGAACATCTGTTTTTTGGATTGGTAAAGGGATTAGCGAAAAGAGTTTTTATATATTTTAATATTATATAAAATTAAGCTATCAAAATATATACTATATTAAAATTAAGTATATAATATTGTGCCCTATATTTTATTTGTAAAATTAAAATCCTGTTTAATATATATTTTATATATTTATATATTGTGTCCTATATTTTATTTGTAAAATTAAAATCTTGTTTAATATATATTTTATATATTTATTTATGATTTTTTTTTTTTAAGGATTATCAATATTAATAAAATCTTTTGTTTAATTCTAATTATTATATCTTAATATAATATTTGTTGTTATTTATTCAAATTTTTAAAAATTGTAAATAATATTTTCAATTTAATTCTATAACTTTTTTTTAATTAGTTTATATATATATATTGTTAGATTCTTTATTCTTATTGTTGATTATTATAAAAACAGATTTTTTACTTTTACTGTTAATTTGAAAATCATTAGTTATATAAAACTAATTTATTTTTTTTAAAATTTGATCAATATCTTGTTTAAATTAAACTATCTATATAATATTATTTATATATATTAAGATAGCTTGTTTAAATGATAAGCTTTTGATATTTTTTTTGTCATTGATTAATTTGCTAAAGTTTGTTAACTATTTGCAATTTATATTATATTTTAATATCTTGTTTTCTTGAATTTTATATTAAAAAGAATCATAAAAAATTTTTTTAAAAAATAAAGAAATTGTTTTATATTAATCAATACTATTGTTATACTGAATCTTTTAAAAGATAATTGATAAAAATCACAAATTAACTAATTATATTAACTATAGAAAAAGTAAACAAAACATATTCTTTTATATTTTTTTAATTATGTAATACTAAATCAATAATGTGATTGATTTTTTTTTATTTTTTATAAATGAATATGCAATGATGCAAATCTTTATTAATACTTTCATATATAGAAATACATCAAGTGTTTTTTACAATTGGAACAATTACTATTCTGTATTAATTATATTTGATGACAGTTCTAACTATAACTAATACTATTCTGTTTTGAGAAACAGCTTACTGTCCATTTTAAATCCAACTATAAAAATTATATATCAAAGGTAGATCCAATATATTGGATAGGGTTTTTATAGGAAGAGAATACCTATTACTAGTTTAAACCACCTAATCTATAATCTATTTTCTTGAGAGCTAATATCTATCCTATAGAAATTTGGTCATTAGATTTCCGAACACCTCGATATTTTTTATTTGAACCCTTGGAAGGGATACTTGCTCCTTGTTATTATCTGTAACTTTGGTAGATCCTTCCCAAGGGATTAATTTTTTTTAAGCAAGCGCCAGATTAGGATAGCTTCAAACTAGGAAATCCTGAAGAAAGTTGAGCCAAGACTTATTGAATATAACATATATAGAGGAACCTATACAACCTATATATGAAGTGACTTTACAACAATCATTATGTATCAACTGAACAATTATTATATCACAATACCTTAATAGGAAATTACAATCTTAACACCTTACCGGATTGGCATATAAATGGCTTCTTATGAGAAACAGTACATAATTGATTACAGTGCCAAATATCATAATAATTTTATTCAACCACCTTTACATAGGATTGAACTGGTATTTTGTGATCTAACCTATGAAGCACTAACTATTGTACTATGGACTTACAGGTCTAATAATGTGATTGATTTTTAAAAGAATTGAATAGTTTTTAATTAAAGATGTAATATAAAAAAATATTAGATATAATTAAAGTTGTAAAAAAAAAAACAATATATTTTTTTGTATTTTTCTTTTTTTTTTTCCTACTTTTTTTAAAAAACAAAAAATAAATATAAGATTTAAATTCTATTTCAATTTGATAACAAGTTAAAATAATAATATTTATTTTGAAAATAGTTAGAAAAAAAAGTCTTGAAATTATTTATTAATTAAATAAAGTAATAATTTTAAAAGATATAGTTTAGAAGAAAAATCAATAATAGAAAATTAATATTCTTTTTGATTAGAAATTTTTAATATAAAGTTTCAAGAAATATTTTTCTAAAAGTATCCTTAAAAATTTTGGAATTTATTATTTTAATAGAAATTAAACAGTTTGACTAATCACAAGTAATAAGAAATAAGTATAATAGCAATTATAAGAAGCTTATGTTTTAATTTATTAAATAATCTTGTCAATAATAATTAAAATAGATAATAACTTTTTTTTTCTCTTTTTTTAATATTATTTGTATATATTTATATTGTTTTTTCTTTTTTATAATTTTTTATTTCTTTTCTTTTATTTAATTTTTACAAAAGAAATAAATACAATTTGAAATTTATTATTTTAATTGTAGAGATAATTTGTAGATATTAATTTTATTAAAAGCTTTGAATTTTAATTCTATTGTATTTATTAAAAAAACAACAAATTACTTTTATAAATTATATCTAGAGATTTTAGTTGTTAACAAGTAAGCTGAATCGAAAAGATTATACTTAACATATATTTTTATACTTTTAATAGTTTTATAATTTAATAAATAAAACAATATTAGTCTAATTGCAAGTATAAAAAAAAAATTAAAATTAAAATTAAAATATTTTTAATAATTTTTTTTATTAAATATTTTTAATGATTTTCTTATTAAAAAATTTTATTATATCAATAATATGTTTATTATTATTTGTAATAATTTAGCTATTTATAAATAAGCATTAGTTATTCTAAATCATTATTAACATTAACTTACTTATTTGATTAAGTTAGTATCAATAATTATGTTACAATAGGCTACAATTAATCTGCATTCTAATTTAATATTGTTTAATAAAGTTCTGTATTTAATGTTTATTTGTAATAAAAATAATTATAAATAATTATTATAAAATTAAAATTAAATATACAGTATATTTTCGAACTTAAAGAAATATAATTATTAATTATTAAAAAAGAAAAATTATTATTATTATTATTTTTTAATATAAATAATTATAAATTATTGATTTATTTTCATTCAATATTGGGAACAATGAAATAAACAATTATGTAATAAGTTTTGATTTTTCAAAAAAAAAATGCATTATACAATAAGAAGAGTAAATACGCAAAATAACTTAATAACAAAGAAAAGATTTTAATTATTTGATTGTATCATGTTACAACTAATATCGCACCGATTAATAAACAGTTTTTGTTAATATTATTAATATATCACAGTGATAGTAATTGCGGATCTTCAATACGCGACCAATATATAAGAACTTTCTAGCTCGGAAAATTTATCAACTTCAACGTGCGATAGAGCATAAGTTTGTACGATTCATATAATGATTTTTTTTTTCTTTGGTAAGTGTGTCTAGTCGCGTTATAATGCAATAATAACGTGTCCATTAACATCACACACGTTTATCTTGTTAGGCTCGATAAAACCACATATTTCTCGTCTTCCTTCTTTACCCGCAAGGTGTCCTAACTGCTTTGATCCTTCGCCGACCGTTTATCAGTACAAACACCAAAATAAACTTGAGATATTTTTCATTCCTGTCTGGTGGTTCAAACCTAAGTTATATTGGGTTTGTGAACGTTGTAAATGGAGAGGGACAACGAGGCCGGAGGAAGAACAAATTCGACGTCTCGAAGAGGCCGAGCTGAAACGACAACGAGAACCCCTTCCAACTTGGGTAAATTTTCGTCCATAATTTATTTCTAATATAAACTGGTTATTAATAAAATTCATTTTTTCCACGATTTTTAGGGGTTAACAAGGTGTAATAACTGTAATATGGAGGTAAATGATATTTACAGAATTATGTTTATTTATGCAATGGCGAATGTAGAAGCATCGAACATTTGTGTCTAATAACTTCTTTAGATTAATGTATCTGGACGCATCAAATATTGTCCCTATTGTGGAAAATCGGTCGAAAATGAAGGTAGACCTTATAATTTATGATTTAACTTAGG